ATCATAGTTATTAAATCAATTTGGGTTTCGACAAAATCATACCCAAAGATTTAATAGGGGAATTGGATGTCGAAAGGATTTTACATGTATGAACTTGTAATCGAAATAGGTTTACTCGCTATTCACTTAATACTAGATTCATGCTACTTGCTAGATGTTCCCATGATATGTGGGTTCTTGAATTAAAGAGTTAATTCAAAAATAAGAGTTAATATGAATAACTCAAATTACAAAGAGTTGTAAACCCATTACTAGTATTAATTGTGAACCTAAAAGGTCACACCAATTTTTGAATGAAGGTAAAATTCAAATAGTATTTCTAAAGAGTTAGAATTAATTGACAAATCTAATTTGATTAGATATCAATTAAAGGAATATATTAAATTAATCAATTAGATTGATTAATTGAATTTTGGATAATAATTTAGTAATTAATAAAATTACTAATTAATAGTTGGAATTTAAAATTAGATTTTAAATTTCAAATCCAAATAATAATAAGATTATTAAATAAGGAAATGAAAGAATAGATTAAATAATAAAGTCTTGAAAAATGTTTTCAAGAATTATTATTTTATTATTTATCTTTAATATAATTGAAGATTAAATAATAATAAGAATAAATTAATTATGGTGGTTAGGAGTTGTTAACTAATCCACATAATTAATCTTATTTTTATTAATACAATAATAATGATTGATGGTGGTTATAAACCAATCACGTTATTAATTAAAAGTCAATATTTGGTATGATTATTTAAATAAAATCTGATTTTATTTTAAATAAAATATATCAAATATTGATTATTTTATGCTAAAATGTTTAGTATAAATAGGTGCAAAATGTTTGCACATTAATTGCTAAAGTTTTGAGCAAAATTCTTCCAAGAGAAAAATTCATTCAAAGAGTTGAGTGATAATACAAGAAAGTGTTCTTGAAAAATTTCCTTATAAATATATATTCCATACTTATTGAATAAAACCGAGTAGTTTCTACTAGCGAAGGAACTATTGTCAGAACCGGAATTCAAAAGGTGGATACGATTAGAGGGAAGACATTTGGATTCCTAAAGTGAGTAACCACAAGAAGTGATCGTTACCAAACCGGGAATTGATTTCCTCATACATCGTCGGTTTTGAAGGAGTTCAAGAACAAAGGTAATTTTTATAAATTACATATCAAATCAAAATTAGTAAAAGTTACTAGATTTTAAATGATGCTTATTCGTTATATCGTTATACTTATGTACGGAATAAGTATTTATAAGATAAATACTTATAAAATTTTAAATTCCGCTGTAAACTCTGTTCCGTACGGTATATCGAACCCAACATATTATTCATATAGATTTTTAAATATATGATAAAATATTACCAAAATAGTTATTTGATAGAATCATAGTGTACTAATTGCACTGTTAGAGGTGAGAAAGTTGAGTTTGTATTACAACAAATCGAACTCTCTCTCTCTAAAGCACGCCTACCCCAATTTCAAAAACCTAGCAGATCTAGCGCTCATCGGGCCTCCCTTCCTCCAGCACTCCAGCCCCTCCGGCCCCTCTGCTCCAAATCAGCTCCTGGGCCTTTGACACGTCTCCTTGCAAGCTGTATGCCTCTCCCTCTGCGGCGTCTCGCCTTTCTCGGTTGACTGTGGGGGATGGTCGGGGCGTTTGGCTTGCGGGAGTTTGTGGCAAGGCGGACTCCGACCGCCGTGAGTCGGTGACGGAGGTCAAGACTACCTTTTAATTCCGACCTTCTTCCCCCTTCTCGTCCTGGTGCTGGGCTTGGAGGGGCTCTGCGGTGGTGGTTCCAGATGCGTCTTGTGCGGGTTCGTGGCCTTCGGGGTATGTTTGGGGAGGAGTTAATTGCGGGTCTTCAGGAGTTGACCCCGTGGTGGCCTCCCGGGTAGGTCGTTGATCTTGTCGGATTAGCTTCAGTAGCGGGGAATTGCTTGGGGCTTGACTCGAGTGTGGGTGTGTGCGTTCGGGTGGAAGGGAGGGCAGTTGTCTTTAGTTTTGTTCTCTTGTTTGTCTTTTCTTGTTTTGCTAGTGTTTTTGTGTTTTGTATCTTTATGTCTGTGTTTTACTTTTTTTTGTCCCGTTGGGAGTGTGTTTGGTGTATTCTCCTGTTGAGAGTTTTTATTCTCCTATTGGGAGCCTTTATGTGTGTTTTGTGTTGTCGTTTGTGTGCTTTTTCTCCTTTTGGGAGTGTGTTTTGTGTGTAGGTTGACTCTAGGCTACCGTCGGGATGTCCGTTGTAAGTGTAGTCCTCTCTACTAGAGTCAACTATTCAGCTTATTCGGCTATTGACCGCTTGATTTGGCTGGGTAGCTGATTTCTAGTCTCGACTTTTTTATGGATATAAGATATTCCTATCGCTTCGGCAAAAAAAAAATAAAATCACATTGTATCCTTTCGAATTTTTGAATAAATTTTAAAATATTACTCACGTTGAAATGAATATAATTTATTATTAGTTTTTTTTTAGTGCTATAATTTATTATTAGTTACATGAACCGTACGAGTTGTATATTAATTTAAACAAACATGTTTTATTATGTAATTTGTACAATATAAATTTCATATAACAATTTCAATAAATAAATATAGATAGTTACATATTGATTCTATTTTTTTAATTTTTAAATATTATTTAATGAGTATTTTTTAATTTATCAATATTAATGAATATCTTTTACTTCGCACGATATTCGAACTTCCATCTGTATACGTTAACCATAGTTAAAATAACTGTAGTAAGATTAACCATTTTATTTTGTTATAAAATATGAGACGAACATTAATAAACCCTTCTTCCATAGTCACTACTCACCACCTTACTTTCCCCCAAATTTTTTTCAGATTAAATTTGTGGCTACTTTTTCAGACTCTCATTGCTCTTTGAGGGTTTTGTGGAAAATAAACTGTCGAGACACTCAAAATTCACCTCTTACGCGTTCAAACTCTCAATTTCATGGTAGTTTTTACGTCTCTCACTCTCTTGTGTTTCCAATTTTACGTGAAATGTTGTATATCGTGTGTTGAAATTTAATTACTGAGTGTATGTATCTTTTGGTTTTTTTTTTTTTTTTTTTTTTTTTTTTTTTTTTTTTTTTTGGGTTTATATACAGATCCGGAGGTAGCGCTCTGTGTTTTGGCGGATTCAGGTATGTTTCTGATGTTCGGAACTGGCTTTGGACTGTTTTCTACTGTTTGTAGTTGCTTAAGCTCAAGTGTTGAGTCAAGTTTCATTTCATTTTGCCTGCGTCTGGGGTGAAGCTGATGGCACGATTAGGGTTTTTCTTATTGATGATGTTTTAATGACTGTGTTCGCATCTGGCTCTTTGCTTCTGTTAGTAACTATGGCCTAGTATCTTTTCCCTTTTTGGCTTGAATATTGTTTATTGCATTGTTATGTGGTGTAATCTTCGATGTAAATGGAGAATAAATCGACTATGGATGTGTTTAGCTGCAGAGTTTTGAGTTTTTTGTTTAATATCGGTGCAATGTATTAACTCGGTTACTCGTGAACTTGGTGGATTTTGTAGGAGACTTTAAAAGCTGCTTTAAGTTTACTGTTATTGTTAAAAGTGAAGAAACATTATCTTTTTAACTCTGTAGATTGTTCGATTTATTGCCTAAAATTTAAAACTGTGTTGAGTCAACCGCTATTGACTTGTTTGAAAATATTTGTCTTTCGTTATCTGTTTCAGTTGGTAGATTCTGTTGCAAAATTAGAATGCTTCTTGATCAACCTATCGACACGTGTTGAAATGGCCACTTTTTTTTTTTTTAAATTTTCTGGCTTTCACGTCCAATCTGAAAAACTGCTTCGTGTCGACTTCTATCCATCAAATTTCCGTCATGGCAGTATGGCATGGCCGGTTTGTGCCTAACCGCCGTTTGGAATTTGTGTGGTGGCATTTCAGCTTAGCACCATTATCTGCCAACCGCCATCAATAACATTGCATGCATTGAAAAAGCATGTTATCTGTTAATGGTGTTAATCGGCTGATATTTAAATGTGTTCAAAACTGAAACAGTTCCTTTATAAACAGATTTTTAACTGGTTATCAAGTATTCATAGTGCGCTGACATAGTATTTAACGTCTGTAAAATGTAGAAAATCTGAGTAAAATGAAAGATGCTTGATCATCCCCACATCTTGAATACTCATCTTTCCTTTTGTGGGTGCTATTAAATTTTGTTATAATACTGAAATGATACTTTCTTTTCACAATTATAATGTCATTCAAATCATAATATATCCCCTAGGCAGCAGTGTAAGATGTTCTGATAGACCTAGTTTTCAGCTCCTTATATGAAACCGAAACATGGTGATGATTATGTAGGGATGGTAAGAATAAGGTAAAGCACCATTGGTATAGAAGTCTATCACTTACTCGTTTTAAGTTTACAACCATTTAGAAATGTTTGTTCTGGACATTTGGATAACAGTGGATTATATGATTCTCTTTGATTTAATTTATTTTGCCACTATTGGTTCAGATTGTGTTTATAACCATTGTTTTTAGTGCCACTTCGACGTGCATGGACTTTAGATGATGGTATATGATTGTGCATTTGGTAGTATATATGTTGCTCTGGCCTCAGGTGTTTGTAAAGTTTTGGTATCTATTTTTCATACTTGTACGTTCATCGATACCTATTTGTGATGGCGATGGCTGCACTTAGTATCTATTTCTATTTTGTGCGTTGGTCCACTGTTATGTAACTTCCTGTTTTGGCATCATGTCTCATGTTATCCTGAATTAGATAATTTTATTTAGCATTTTGTAACATAGTTCTCATTAGGTAACCTAGGTTCTGAAATAATTACTTACAGTCCCACAATATTCACGTGTTTGTTTCGATACCTTTTCCGGTCACTTGATTTTTTCAGTTATTGTTTTACTAACTTTGCGCCCATTTTTTATTTAATTTTTTACCAAATCAGGTGTTTGGCAGCATTGTCTGTAATCTAAACCAAGATTTGAAAAAATGGACTGCAATAAAGACGAAGCCGTAAGAGCAAAAACCATAGCCGAGGAAAAGTTTAAGCAGAAGGACTACGCTGGCTCCAAAAAATTTGCATTGAAAGCCCAAACTCTCTATCCACAGCTTGATGGCATTTCCCAAATGCTAGCGACCCTAGACGTGTATTTGTCTGCTGAGAGGAGGATAAATACGCTGGTCGATTGGTACGGGGTGCTTGATGTGGATCCCACGACCGATGACGAGACAATCAAGAAAAAGTACCGGAAATTGGCTCTTCTTCTGCACCCCGACAAAAACCCATTGGCTGGTGCTGATGGTGCGTTTAAGCTCATTTCTGAGGCCTGGAGTCTTCTGTCGGATAAGGCCAAGAGGTTGGCCTATAACCGCCAAATCGCGGGTTTTAAAGGGTCCCACCCGAAACCTCCTAGTGGGGGCCCCTCTGCTGGTGGGCCAAGAACTGCCAGCCGGCAGGCCCAAAATGGTGGCCCGCTGGCACCATCCTCGGAGTGCCCATCTTCAAAGCTTGGAAAGAGAGAGCCTCCCGCTCCAAAAATGCCAAAAAAGAGATCAAAGACTGTAGCTGCCAAGCCAGTCCCTGCTCCTTCACCCATTCCAAAAGTCGAGAGTTTTTGGACCATCTGCCATGAATGCAAGGTTAAGTACGAGTATCACGTGATGTACCGCAACTGTACCCTTCACTGCATGGACTGCAAAAAGCTATTTGTGGCTCACCAGATACCTCGGCCGGCTGAGCTGTCACGAATTCGCAAGCCTAGTCACCGGCCGCCTGCGCAACAGCTGAACTCGAGCAACAATTGCAGTAGTGATAATAATCTGGCCTCGCAGTCTGTTATTTCCTGATGGGCATCGGGTACTGGCATTTGCATTTTTCGATGTGTGTGTGTGTGGGGCCCACCTCCCGAGAAAGGAATGTGGTTTAGAAAGGAATAGAAATCGGGAGTAGGGCAAACGAATCAGGAATCTTTTACGTTGCTTTGTGCATGGCCCACATCTCGTTTGTCCTCCATGTGGGTGAGGGTTCCTTCCAAGTCCCGTGCAGTCTCTCGGCTGGCCGACAAGACTTGGATCCACCGTGTTTTGTCGCAGGTGGTTTTATGCTTTGAACTGTTAACCTCTTTTGTTACAGTGCTGTTAAATGTTCTCGAGTCGGGGCAAAATCTTAAGAGATGTTTCTCAGTTTGTATCAGCAAGATCTACAGATCAGTTTATACTTACTTGAATTGAGTGACTAGGATATTTTTAAAGTAATTATTGTTTTTTTGCCAAAAAAAAGGGAAAAGAAAAAAATTATACTCAGCAAAATCTTGTGCATTGAACGCAAAAATTTTAAGAATGTTTCACGATTTGTATAACTAAAATCAATCATGCAACTTTCACTAAATCTATCTCTATGCCAAAATCATATTGTAAGTGTTTCAAGTCACTTATAAGAGTTTGATAATTCATGCTGTATAAATTCGGTACTCCATACTTCACTTTTCATCTTGAAATTCAACAAGAATATTTCTATGGAACATGGGACGACTCTCTTATGGAGCCATCTATAATATACCTTTATGTACTGACACATGTCCAATGTGCATTTATTACATGACACATGTCAATACATCATTTGTGAATAACTATGAACGAAATCCATAAGCCGAGCCATCCGACGGCTTTATAGCAGAACCGTGAAATTTATCAAATTTGATTCAACATTTCAACTCAATTATTAGAATTCGATAATGCATACCTCACAAATTCATAATTTATACTTCATTTTTCATCGTGTAATTTAACAGTTTAAAACCAATATCATAATTTGATTCGGCCTTTCGACTCAGTCATCCAAATCCGATAATGTATAGCTCATATGGTATTCAAAAGTCTTAAATTAATGTCAAGGTTTGATTTGATTCACCTTTCAATTCAATTAGTATTAGACTTGTGCATTTGCACAGATGTAAATAAAGTATTGTGAGTTATTTGTATGCATATAATGATTAATTATTTCTTTTTCACTTTTTTGCAGACCAAATTTACAATTAAAAGAGTTGAAATATTTTTTTTTAAATTGCGTTTATCTGATTGGATGTAATGTATATTTTGGTCCGTCCTTTTTTTGTGAATTATTTATTATTTATTTAAGAATTTCAAATACGTTTTTTATTAAAAAAATAATAATTTAAATGTAACCACAATAATAACATCTAATCACATTATATAGTCAATTGTCAGTAATCAAAAGTTTAAAATGATTTTTATAATTTTGAAGTAATTAGTATTGATTATTTAATAATTAAATGAAAGATTAAATACATCAAAAGTAACGGTTTTTGGAGGGAAATGGTTAAATTGCCACATAGGTAAAATTAAATAGGTTTTATTAAATATTATTAGCTAGTAATTATATATATATAGATTATCAAAATTCGATTATGCATATAGCATACCTCATTTTTTTTCGTCTCATTATGGAATTCAAAGACCTAATACCAATAATCAAATTTGATTAAAAAAAACTCATCGGTTAATTACTTTATAAAATTTTTATTTCTTTGATTATTTTAACATTTAAGAGTCCAATTAGCTACATATGACAAAAGCTAAAAAATAGAATAATGTTAGGAAAAAAAGAAAGTTCCTTTTTCTAGTTACAAGAAAAATGGAACATATGTATAATGAGAACCAGTAATTAACAACAAATGCTAAATATGAATTCACTCAAATACAATTTATTACAAAAAGTTGGAAGATTACAAAAATGTTGATTTTTATAAAAGAATGTGTGATTTATTCCATACATAATGTGATACAATAAATATTGACCAAACACTTTTGGAAAATTAGTTTTGAAATGCTTGAGAAAAAATTAGCTATGGTTAAGCTAAAATAAAATATTATTAACCATAGTTGAGTTAAGCTCTATCTAGGTTAAACCTATATTATGTTATTATATATAGAGTAGAGCATGAGCTTTAGTCTTACGAATCAATTCACTTGAGGCAAGCCAACTTCTCTCAAATTTTGATTAAAACATATATATATGTCCAATATTCTAATTTTGTGAGAAATAAACTGTTACATATATCTTTGATTTTTTAATTATTATATCACTCTTTATTATATTCATATTTTTAAACTCCAATGTTTTAGTATTTAGGTAGTTATATGTCAATAATTTTATTTTTTTATTTTTTTTTTTTATTTGTACATGCATTTTGTAACCTTTCAGTTCGATGCTGAATATTAATTTATTCATTTTTATTTATTTATTTATTTATTTATTATTTTTTTTTTTGTGTTTGTGTTTTTAATTTTACAGATCTGTAGCTGACGCTCATCGATCGTTGTTGATTGGAAATTGAGGCTTGGTAAGTGATTTTTATTGATAATTCAATTTTTAAGCATGATAATTTTAGGGAGATTCTACTGTTCCATTACAGAATTCTGTCGGGGTTTGTAACCGTTAGATCAACTATCTATGACATTTACATGATGATCTACCGGTTATAAATCCCGATAAATCTAACTATTTTTGATTGATAATTTTTTCATGACACGTAGTTTGAGTTCGACTGTTAATGTTATTGATGTGGTTTTAGAACGACGCCATTTTTGGGGTTCACAACAGTTGAAAATGCTATTGAAACAGGCCATATTAATTAAGCAGTTAGTTCTATAACAGCTGGTAAATAGTCTACAAATTTCAAAATGAAGTGGCATAATAAATATATATAAATTAGTACTCCATAATTAAAACTTAAGCATTTAAGTAGCATGCTAATTATTTGAAGTTTTCAATGTCGTGAGACGATAATTTTAAAGATAATTGCGGAAAATAAATAATTAATTTATAAGCAAAAGTGTAACTAATTATACAAATTTTTATATTTCAACATATTTATTTATATTTGTTCTTTTTTTTTAATTATGTTTAAATTGTATTTCACTATTATTCATAATGTTTTTTAAATATCGAAAGTTACTTTTTTAACCCTTACAAAACTTTAAATGGTACAGCTTATCTTGTATTTAGTCAATGGGACCTAAGAGTAACTCACAATTAATTTAATAAAATATTGCTAATATATGTAATTCCTAAACTTTAAATTATATTTTATAAGTTAATTTTTTTTTTAAAAAAATGAACCAATTGGAGATAAGTAAATTTTTGATTAATTTGTAAAATAAATATTTTTCCTTTTTTATCCTAAAAATTGAAGTTTAAAAATTAGACTTAGCAAAAAGACCCCAATTTAAATCATTTTGCATTCTCAACTTAATCCTACTGAGCCTTTAAATTTTTTCTCATTATTAGTTGTACAATTGTCTCGTTTTAATTTATTATTATCTGCAAATTATATATATTTAATATAATATATACTCCATGAGCCTTTAAAGTTGATACGTTGTGGTGGACCCCAACACCATAAAATTGTTGTTTTATATATGTAAAAAACAAAAGTACATACCTACCTAGATACTAGCCATTTCATTATATATAAATAAATTATTATTTTGAATTAATTTTATTATATAAATTATTTCGAATTAATTTTAATCGGTCTTACTGGAGAAAATGACCATACATTTTTTTTTTTATATATAATCATATTTCCTAATAAAATTACTTTAATTCGAAGAATGTATACATAATTTTTTTATTTTTATTTTTTTTTTCCAAAAATGCAGATTGATTCATTCAATTTGAATAGATTTTGTATATTTGAAAATTGCAATGCTTACTAAATTTAAATATATAAGAGGCAAAATAGGTCACATTCATTTAATTTGGAAACAATACAAAACCTAACAGGGACCTAAAAATTTAAAATGCAATGAGCCCAAAAAGAAAAAAAAATCTCAAACAGTCATCATTAACTACAGACATAGGGAAACGTTTAGGTACCATCCCGTCGGTGTTCGTTGGATCATCTATCTTATCTAACTACATGTGGATTCAACAGTTTAAAACACCCGACAGGATGATACGTAACATTTCCACACATATACCCATCTTTTTATACAAGACATCACATGAATATTTTGAATAGTAGTCATCACCTCATTGTGTTCTCCTAAAAATTAGCTTTTTTTTTGGGCACTTTTCATA